GAGGGGGGGGGGGGGGAGGGGGGGGGGGGGGAGAGGAGGAGGGAGAGGAGGAGGGAGAGGAAGGTCTCAATGTTTCAATGTTTGGGTAGAAAATTAAAACAACCCAAAAGAACCGTGAGGATGAAAACATCAAATCTACAAAAAACCAAGACTCGCTACTGGGCAGATGACAACATGTGACCTCCTGGAGAGAAGAAAGCTGTGGGGTGGGGGGTTAGACAGGGAGAGAGTGAGGGGGGGTGAGGAGGTGAGGGGGGGTGAGGCCATAGAATGAAGGAAATCGAGGGAAAAAAAACAGGTCCATTAAAACAGTCATAAACAGCAGGGTTCACACTGGAGCTGCTCGTTAATGTGACGCACGCAGAGCAAGAACGCATTAGTCCTGGGTGCAGCTGAGGTACTGCAGTGTGTGTGTGTGTGTCTGTGTGTGTGTGTCTGTGTGGGAAAATGCACACCACTGTTGAAGTTCAGCAGCAACAGTTCCTCTTGGCTGAGGCTGAGGCTGAGGCTGAGGCTGACGTCAGCACAGAATCAAGAGAACGAGAGAATGGAGTCGTCCACGAACAACAACAACAACAACAACAGCAGCAACAACAGCAACAACAACAGCAACAAAACAAGCAACAACAACAACACCAACAGCAACAACAACAACAACAGCAGCAGCAACAACAACAACACCAACAACCACAAGAACAACAACACCAACAACCACAAGAACAACAACACCAACAGCAACAACAACAACAGCGACAACAACAGCAACAAACCATATAAATAACACTGTACGTACAGTACATGTAGTAGTGTACTGTAGTGTACTGGGGTGGGTGTGGGAGGGGGGGGGTCACAGCTGGGGCCACTGGTCCTGCTGCCGCAGATGAACTCTACATCCCATAATATAAACAGACGTCTCCTCAGATCATAATTAGAATAATAAAGACCACAGTCATAACGACCATGCTAAAGCTAACGCTAACACTAACAGACACGTTAACGCTAACGTATTTAACACTGATTACTGTCGACCGCAGAACTGTACACACTCTGACCTCTGACCTCTGACCTCACCACACCGCTTATAACCGTCCTCTCACTCTGCAGATGATGTCATCACCACGTCTGTTCTGCCCCGGTCTCTGCAGGGGTAAGAACTCTTCACCTGATTTAACCCCCCCTCCATCTGCCCCCCCTCCACCCCAACGTTCAACTAATGTTGACTGAAATGATTGGACGTCGATGATGTTTATCGTTTCCACATGTTTGGACACACACACTGAGACGACCCTACAGTAACCACACACACACACACACACCCCGTCTGTGTGTGTGTGTGTGTGTGTGTGTGTGTGTGTGTGTGTGTGTTCTTGTCCTAATCCCAGTCTCCTCACTTCCACACACGTCTCAGATGCCGTCTAATCTGACCAACAGCCTGGTGGTTTTCTGGTGAAAACTCTGTTTTGCTGCGTCCACATGTCGGCACACGCCCCGGTTCGCCCCAGTTCGCCCCGGTTCGCCCCGGCTCAGTTCGCCCCGCCCGTCCGCGGCTCAGCTCAGCTCGGCGTCTGCTGCTCTGTGATGTTCACCTGCATTCTTCTGTGACACCTGGAGGCTGGGGCTCAGCACAGGAAGAGAAGAGTCTCCACAAACAGGGAGGGGGGAGGGGGTCCGAGCGGCGCGGTGCCTCAGCGCTCCACTCAACGTGTTTACTTTACGGTGGGAGAATAAAAACGGGCAGCAAATATATGTGAAAAAAAACAAAAAAACTTCCTTCCTGTTGATGTCAACGACCACAGACTGTATGGAGCTGCAGTAACACCTGCCGGCCTCTGGAGGCCTCTACACATGTTTGTAAACAAAAACATTTTTCTTAAAAACCACAACAACAAATGCAGTTTTGGAGGACGGGGGGGAGGACGGGGGGGGGGCAGTGATGCAACAGTCATTGACAAACAACAACGTCAGTGAAATAATGTGGACAAACATCAGGTCAACAGACCAAACTGTTAGCAACAGACGTAGCAGCACTGCTGTAGCAGCCGCGTGTTCCCACTGTGGACCAGCAACAGACCAGCAACAGACCAGCAACAGACCAGGGACGACGTTTGACATGTGACCACCTGATAAAAGCAGTGAGACTTACCCTGGTACCAGCTGGGACGGTTGGTCCTCTGGTCCTCAGGCTGCACATGCACAGACCCAGTGAACCAGGCCTTTAATCCAGGCCTTTAATCCAGGCCTTTAATCCAGGGCTTTAATCCAGGCCTCAGTCCAGGCTGCTTCAAAGTTCTCCTGCACAGTGATTGGCTGAAACATGGCCCCACCCCTTCTGGTCAGAGCAGGAAGTAGATTATCAGACAGAGTTTCTGGGTCAGTGAAACAGTTTTGGACAAAAACTCCACACGTATTAAATCAGATGAAAGTGTCGGGCTGCGACCCAACGCCTCAGGTGAGGTCAACATGACATTGAAGCCAGTTTTTTCTGTACGTTTCTGGAACAGAAAGACGAATATCAGCAGGTGGAGGTCAGTGTTTGTCACCTGTCTTGGGTCTTGGGCTGCAGACCAGAGGTTGAAGCACCCACAGACACGTGCTGGGAGTTGACGCTGCGATTATAAGACACGATCACACAGTGATACCGTCTTTGATTCTCAGGAGTGTGTGAGGAAACTGTCGAGCGTTGACAGGAAGGTAAACAGAGCGCGGCTCCAACAAACGCATCCGTGCCAGTCGACAAAACCTCACCTCCTCGTCCTCCTCCTCGTCCTCCTCCTCGTCCGCCACAACAGAACAACAATTACAGGCAGATTTGCATAAAAGAAACTTGGAGACAATCGTCTGCGGCGGTGACTCACACACGTGGAAACGTTGTGGTTTAATCAGAGGAACTGTGTCACCAAACAGGGCTGCGATCCAAAACCTCATCACCAGGTTTATTACCAATAAAAACTCTATGTACACAGACGTCCCCGTGTCCCTGTGTCCCCGCGTCCCCGTGTCCCCGTGTCCCCGCGTCCATGAGACTCCCAGGTGAGAACTCTGGGAGGTCTGGGATTGGAACCTTAACCCACTGGATTATTGAAGGTGTCGTAGCACGACTAACTCTGACGATCTCGTCTTCTCACTCTGAACCAGGACGTTAATCTTTGGATCATTTTCATCCCCACTCTCTCGGCCTCTTGACCCTTGACCCTTGACCTTTCCCAGGGGACGTTCAATGATGGAGGTCTTTGATTCTCTGAGCTGAACTTTGAGGACGTGGAGCTGCAGCGGCGGCGGCGGAGGCGGCGGCGGCGGGGGCAGATGAGGTCGTGGGTTATGATCTAATGCAGCGTTCCTATAGGCTCCAGGGTTCAGTCCAGGCCGCGGTGCAGGAGAATCAACATCCTGGTATTTGGGTCAGTATTTACTACTACTTCATATACAGTACCAGTGTTTGTGACCTAACCTGTAGGTTTGGTTGTAGTGGGAGCCTGGAGTGTAATTTGTGTACACACACACACACACACACACACACACACACACACACACACACTCTGACAACATGAAAGCAGCTCCCTCTGTGTCTCAGCACTGTGTTATTAGAACCCAGAGACTCCAGAGTGTCTGCTGCTGCGTCACCGCCCACAAACTACTTGACACGCATCCTGTGTGTGTGTGTGTGTGTGTGTGTGTGTGTGAGAAAGATCCATGGAGGGTTCGAACCTCTGACTCATCTGGACAGGCCCTGCAGGAAAGCACTGTCAGCACAATGTCAGTTCTAGTGTGTGTGTGTGTGTGTGTGTGTGTGTGTGTGTTTGCATGTAAGTTCATGCAGAAATGACACGTTCAAGGCCGTTGTAAATATAGACACTTTATTATCATTATTATTATTATTATTATTTGTTGACAGAATTAAAATTGTGCAATTGTTCATCTAAACAGCATCACGAGTATCACAAAAACAAACCTGAGTACAACATCAAGTTATTACAACATAGACAAACGTCTTTAAAAGGCCACGTCTGTGAGACGTCGTCTGCCGCACCAGTGGACGACGGCGAAGGTCTGTCACGTCGTGACGACACTTCTACAACAACGAGGGGGAAAAAAAGTAGAACTTCATGAAAGACACCAGCGTGAGGCGCTGCAGGAGCTGTGGTGGTACGGCTGTAGCTCAAATAAATACAACGACGACACAAGAAGAAGAAGAAGAAGAAGAAGAAGAAGAAACGTTGATTTGGTTAAAATATATTTTTGGATAATCACTGAGTTTGGAGCAGATGTGGTGTGAATGTCCTCAGTCGTGGTGTGAATGTCCTCAGTCGTGGTGTGAATGTCCTCAGTCGTGGTGTGAATGTCCTCAGTCGTGGTGTGAATGTGTGCAGTCGTGGTGTGAATGTGTGCAGTCGTGGTGTGAATGTGTGCAGTCGTGGTGTGAATGTGTGCAGTCGTGGTGTGAATGTGTGCAGTCGTGGTGTGAATGTGTGCAGTCGTGGTGTGAATGTCCTCAGTCGTGGTGTGAATGTCCTCAGTCGTGGTGTGAATGTCCTCCGTCGTGGTGTGAATGTCCTCAGTCGTGGTGTGAATGTGTGCAATTCACTCATTCAAAATCCTATTTACACTTTTCATATGAAAATAAACACATTTTTTATATAAATTCTTTTTCTTTTCCTGTTGCTGCCGTGCTACGTTCACTGTCGCTCGGGAGTTGAGCAACATTTGGATCGGTCGCTAAAAAAAGAATTAATAAAATGACCCAGAATTGTGTGAGATTCAGCATGCGTTTAGCCCTAATGCTAGCATGGTCGGAATTAGCATGGTGATAACAACGCTGTTGTTATCGCGTGGCGTTGAGCAGGTGACGGTGACGGGGGGCGGGACTTTTCATCTCCTCCACTCTGGGACCAGTATTTGGAGAGGACAAATCATTGCTGTGTAAACGCCACCTAATGGTGACTTAGAGAACTGCACTGTCAAATGTCGGTTGAAAAAGCGGCAATAAACCCGCGGCTCGAGGTCGTCCTACAACATTCCAGCGTGGTGTAACCGAAACATTTTAGGTAAAAAGTGATGACTGACAGGTGAGACGAGGAAACAGGACAAAACTCGACAGCAGAAACAAGTTTAAAAGTCGTTTTCACTGTCGGAGAAACGGCAATTTGACGAAAACAACAGTTATTTGTCAGAAGTTATTTAGGTTATTTATTTATTTGGGGTTTGACGTCTGTAGCTCCAGGCAGTTCTCACACAGGTTCAACACACACACCTGCTGCTGCTGATGAAGATGATGATGAAGATGATGATGAAGATGATGATGAAGATGATGATGAAGATGATGATGAAGATGATGATGAAGATGATGATGAAGATGATGATAAGAGGATGAT